CATGCACTGAACACTAAGAAATAAAGAAAGGTGTTGCAGAAGCACAACAACCTAGAGATAATTAATTATTTCTGGTATGCAATCCGGAACGAGAAACACTAGGCTTCAGGTTAAGTAACAATTTAATAATGCCTTCGCCGCCATATTTGCCTTCCCATATCATGTTGATTAGCCTTGAGTTGAGGTGGTGCTGGTCAAATCAAATACGCAATGTTGCCAGTTTGGTTGGTGGCGCACGAGCAGTTCGCATGTGATTGGGGCGTATTTTTTCATACGTCATCAACTGGCAGTTTAAAATTATTTAAATTAAAGCAATTTTGAGGGCCTATAAAAAAATTATTCAATGTCATGGAACTATTTTTTTTTTTGGATAAATATACTGAAAATAGTCTTCTATTTCAGATTTCGGCCTTGAATTAGGTATTTTATTTTTTGTGAAAGAGCCCATTAACCACACTGTCTTCAGCATACTCTTTTGTATTTTGTCTGCTCATCACAATCATCGGGAGGAATCGTATACGTGAACAATTCCCTTTGGCTTACATCAAATTGGCTTACTAAAATATGATTTTTTCCCAATTGATATAAACCCAAGTTTTATCTATTTTTAACAAGTTTAAATTAATTACAATTTTTTTATGAAAAAAAAATTGTCAAAAAAAAAAAAAACTGTATAAATAAACGATAATCTAAAAACTATTCGATGACCTTTGTTCCCGAGAGTTTGGGTGCTTGAATGTCGTGAACTTTGTCGCCGCTATCGGAAATTCGATACCGGATTCGACGAACGGTTTCGACGAAGCGAGAAACTTCTAAAGCGATTGTTTTCAGCGAAGACCTAAGGGACATTACTTGTTTCGGACTAGTTCGGGCCAAAGTTTTTAGATGCGATCCGTCAGCACTATGGATCGCTTTGATAGAATCCTTTTTTTTTAGTTAAACTGAGTTTGATGTATGAATAATCTAGAATTTGTAATAATCTAGAAAGTTAAATTTGGTTGGTTTTTAGTATCTCTTTACATAAAATGAGCTGTAACTATTAATATTTAATTTTCCATAGGATGTGTCAAAGGCAACCTATTATTTTTTTTTGTTATTATTATATGATACTATCACCTTATCGAAGATCTTCATATTTGAAATTTAAAACATCCAATAAATTATTGCCAAAAATCCGTAGACACACATCTAGAGGGCACAACATCTCATCTTCAGTTCCATTTTAGACATTTCCACAATTTTTTAAACACTGGCGTATCTAGAAATTTTGGGCTTCCCCGCAACTCTACTACACATAGCACCAGAAAATGAGAAGAAAGAGGAAAAAGGTCATGTAAGAAAAAGAGATTTTGATGATAAAGTATCTTATGCACATTATAAATTGTGTTTTGATATAATTACCTTTTTTCTGTTTTTCCTATGTTTTTTAACCGTCGCCGTCGGTTAAAAACGGCAGAGAAGAACGAGGTGTGTAAGGCCTTTATTACTTCTCCCGAATCTCTTATCAAGATATTTATTTGGATGTGGACATCCCATTTTAATTTTGGATCAAGAAATATTTCCAAAGAATCATTTCAGGAGCATTTTCGGGTTCACCCTTGATCTCTCTTAGTGAAAATATGTCCCTCTGCGTTTTGGTATTGTTAGAACTAGATGTGTCATCTGTGAAGAGTGGGCAGTGATAAATTTGATATCAAGGCAAATCATTTATATATATATTGAGAACAACATCAGTCCTAGGACCGATTTAGGCACAGGATTTAAGGCCGATTTTTTATTTTTTTGCACCCTACTACTAGGATGGAAGTTGTAATATTGAGGCTTGCGAAGAAGTATGTCAAGCACCACACAATCGAACGCTAAGGTGACAAAACAGAACGGCACCATAGCCTCAATGAGCCGGAGATATCCGCTGATCTAGATCCAAGATTGCAGACGTTGTGCTTCTATTCTTTCGAAAGCTATATTGACACGAGTTCAAGCATTGATAGTTTTCAAAAAATTCAACATGATTGCCATGATCTTTTCAGCTATTTTAGAGACTATTGGCAATATTTAAATTAATCCATAATTACAGCAGTCACCATCGCTACCCCCCTTGAAAACGAACCACCTCGGCTGATTTGAGAATATTTGAAAAAACATTTCACGTCATCATTTCATTTATTAGTTTTGCTAAATGTTTCCACAACAGACGTCGAAAAAAGCATATCTGATGGTCTTTCACTGGGTTCGTTTACTTGTACCGATCGATTGGCCCCGGGCTGTTCTTTCCCCGCGTTTAACTAACGGCGGCAGCGTGCGACTATCCACTTCGTTTCTCTCGTGACGGTTTGCCAGTCACCGTAACCGATTCATTATCGCGAGTGGATTTTTCTCAGACGCTCTGCCGGCATTGTCTCGGCATTAGTTACCGAGGGATTGGGTTTGTTCACCTTTTCGCGCCAGGACCACCAACAAAACGGATTTCGCCAAGGCGGCTATCGTCTATGGGAAATTTGATCTTCGTACTACTTTTTTTGTCTCTTAAAATCCTTCTAGTATTACACTGTTTGCACTGTTAGTTGGATAGTTATACCCGTTTTCAGAAAATGCTTCGAAGCGAAAAAAAATTCAAATGAGAAAAAGCAAGGAATTGATGCAAGGTAACGTCAAGCAAAAAGATCATTCGAAAATGGTACTAGGTAGTTCAGCACGAGTAACGAAAATAACATGCTGTACTGTACAGCAACAATGGATGCTATAAGAAGATCGTTAAGCATTCAATAGACAAAAACATAAAAAAATTAGTCCATAATAAACAGATGGTTATAGACGGCACAATAGCATCAGATATAGAAGGATCAGTTGGTATTAGTGACCGGCGTGTAGAGATAATTCAAAACACAAGATGGTCCTAGCAAATAAGGTTTAGAACAATTAAAAATTGAAAACAAATGGAAAATGAGGTGTAGGACAATGATAATAGGCGTTAAAAATGTGTGTAAGGCCCATTTTCACTAATATAGATGAATTGCACTGTACATACATACATACTGCCATTACTCGCTGACGAGTATTCGACACGCATCAGAAGAGGGTCACGCAAGGCGTTTTCTTTCATGAGCTTTTCTGTGACTGAAAAGCCCGATACGTGATGGTATCTGTCTACCGCACTCCGAACATTCAAAAATCTCATTGCTTTGTTGCCTCTATACCTTTTGATTGTCGCTGTTAACTGAGTTTACAATTCTTCTCTATTCCATTCTATTGTGAGCTGCTTCTTCCCACTCATTCTGCTTGCTAATCCCCTTTAAGTTTTCGTGGAAAATATTGTTGTACCTTTGGAATATTATTATTGTTGTACCTTTGGAATGTACCTGGAATAATGTTTGGAATTGCAATGTAACTTTTTTATAAATACCTGAACAGATTATTCATACTAATGATATATATTATGATCAGTCTGCATGGCTATGCAGAAGAATACCCATTCCCAGAGAAAATAAGAGAATGACTGAAAAGAACTATATAATAGGAAAGTAGTGCCTACTACCATACATGAAACATCATCAGAATTAATGAAGATTACTTGCAAAACTTTACCATTAGAAATGGGCGCTATAGAGTGAATGATAATTCCATTCCAAAATAAGTCTTCAGCATTTAACGTTTTATGTAAAACTGGCTAGGTATATTCGTATTTTAGCACATTTTTAGACAACTTCTATATTTTTAAGATTTTGATGGTCAAACATCAACAAAATATTCCTTATGTTTGGACTAAATTTTCTCGTAAATAAAGACATAATTTAAAATTCCGTTACAATACGGAAATAGATTGAAGTTTTGTGATTACAGTGATATATAATTTATATGGTTTTGTAACAAATTGCTCGCTATTTTATGGCAAATGCTGAAACTCTGCAAACCTTATTCAAGCCTTAATCAAAGCACGTGTGTTTGGAATTGTGAGAGTAGCTTAACACGACAGGACGGGCTAAGTCTTAGGCAGATTTCTGATATATAATATATATTTCCTTCGGCCACACACCCAAAGTACTCTACCCCTGAGAGCAATGAACAGATTTAGTCTCAGAGTAATTAATCTGTATTCAGTAACCTGGTTATTCATCGACTTCAAGCCCGGTGGAATTCGTTAATGTTATTGTTTTATTATTTATACAATGTTTCTATTAAATTATTAGCTTAATTGGAATACACTACATGACCAATACTAGAATTAATTAATTTACTACCAATATTGATGCAATTAATAATTTTTCGGAAAAATAAAACTATTTAACCATAATTATTAATTTATTAATAAATGTAATCACTAGCGTGAAGTATGATAATTGCTTATTAATTTGAAGTGAAATATACATTAGTTAACACAGTTACTAGTTTCTAAATCTGGGGTAATTAATAACTATTTAGTATGTCATAAAAGACTTGTTTTTCAATATAAATCTTTAAAAAAAAATAAGTGGGAATAGACGGCCATAAAACTTTCTTTTAGGTAAAAAAGCATATCGTATTTCTTACCATTCACACTCTCGTTTGTATGGACCGATCCAATAGCATTCAGAGTTTTCAATAAACAACAAGGGTAAAAAATCGTCTTTTCATCAGACAGTTATAATCTGAGACTGTAAAATATTCCGCGCGTTCATCCGCAATTATTTAAAAAGAACATCGAATAGCGTTTTGGAAAGAAATAGAGAAACACGATCTCTTATTGAATTTATCTCGGAATTTATATATGGGACATCTTCCTGCTTTGCATTCATTTGAAAAAAAGTCACTCAAAATGTTGTGTCAATAATAAATAATTTAGTCTATGAAAAACTATATATTCGCCATGAAAAGTGTCATCAAATAAATTTCGCATACGCACAACAATAAAACTTTAAGGCTTATATTTATATTTTATATCTAGAATTAAAGATTTAGATATCTTTTTTTATTAGACATTTAATTATAAACCGTTTGTATTGTTTTCAGATTACCTCTAATTTCGAACGACAATGTTGTTCCTTTTGCTGCTTACCGGTTTCCTCTCAACGTACACATGGGCAGGAAGTGTCCTAGGCTGTCCCGTCGGCTGTATTTGCAACGATGACACCTTCGTCGTCCAGTGCGACCACAACAAGCTGGATATCATTCCCATCACATTGAATCCCGCTATACAGAGGCTGGTGCTCCGCAATAACAAGATCAGATCGGTAGACGCCGCTTTCACATTCTACAGAGATTTGCAATACGTCGATCTCTCCTTCAATCACCTGCACAGCATCCCCTCGAAAAGTTTCCTCCACCAAGAAAAACTACAGGAGTTGCATTTAAACAAGAATAAACTTTCGTCGTTAAATAGTACGACATTCGAAGGTTTGAAGTCGTTGACCGTGCTGAATTTGCGTGAGAACTTTTTGGATGAATTGCCAAAACGGATTTTTTCTATTCTTCCTAAACTGGAAGAGCTAAACCTGGGACAGAATAGAATAGCCAGGATCGATCCTCTAGCGTTCGAAGGATTGCTTAGTCTGCGAGTATTGTTTCTGGATGACAATCTGCTCAAATCTGTGCCTACACCGGCCTTTTCCGTTTTGGGTAGCCTGGCCGAGCTCCACGTTGGACTTAATTCTTTTGACGGATTACCCGATGATGCGTTCCAGGGTTTGAACCGATTAGCCGTGCTGGATTTGAGTAGCGGCGGTATTTCAAACATCAGCCAAAACGCTTTCCGCGGCCTCGAGGGTCTTCGTAGCCTTAATTTAGCAGACAATCGACTCCAACGGGTACCCACCACTCAACTAGGAACCTTGGCTCGCCTCGAAGAATTGAGTATAGGTCAAAATGAATTTATGCTGTTAGAAAAAGGTGTGTTTAGTGGCTTGACCAATTTACGTCGACTGGATGTGACGGGCGCGAGAAATTTAGAACGTATCGAACGAGGAGCTTTCGCAGAGAATCTTAATTTTAGAAACGGTAGTTGCTAGTTAACAAAAAACTGAGAGAGTTAGATGAGGGTGTTTTGGAAGGATTGCCCAATTTGAGGCATTTGGTTTTGCGAGAGAACGCTTTGGAAAGTCTTCCGGAAGCAGTAGCGTCATGGGGCGAACTACGGGGATTGGAACTGACCGACAATCCTATTCGGTGCGACTGTAAACTGTTATGGTTACTGAAATTAACAAATCAACGTAACTTGACCAACGTCCAGTGCTCATCGCCGACGCATTTACGCGAACGCTCGTTAAAATCACTTTCCCCTGGAGATTTGGGATGCTCGCTGGGAGAGCCGAGTCAGCAAGTGATAATCGTAACATTCTGCGTGAGTGCTATCATCCTTTTGGCCGTGCTGGGACTATTTTTGTTTCGTTACCGCCTTAAAGTTCGCGACGCGTTGAAAGACTACAAGTTTAACAAGCGCGCCATCAGTCGCAAGGAGCACGAGTACCAAAAGACCTTCTCCGAGGACGACTACACTTTACGTGGCGGCCAGCTGCCCATCAAACATATTCCGGTGACGGAGTTGTAGCTAGAGCTGAGCGCGCCGCCGACGGGAGTGTTCTGTCTGGGAGGCGAGGGTAGGCGAGTGAGGGCCCCTCGCGGTCCTGCGGGCACCCTTCCCGCACCCGGATTCACGTACCTTCGAGCCAGCGACACCTGCAGGGCGCACTCGCTTCGGGCGCTACCCTCGGGCGCCAGGAACGGCTGCGTCCCCTGCACCGCCGACGCCTTCCCACGCTAAGACGGCAGCGCGCCCAGCCCATTGAATCCATTCCAAAATGTGATTTTTAACGATATTAAGAGACTGTACAGTTAGTTTGCTAAGTATAGTTTTACGTATGCGACAACGCGTGCCCGTAGGGGAGGCTGTGGTACGACCCGAACTGTAAGAACTAACACAAAAGATTGGAAAGTATCAAAAACTAATTTCTAATATCTACATACCCTTTGTTGCATCTCCGATCTAAACATACATATAATATCGCTGCTCCGGCAGAATAGTGACCGAACTGCAAAAAGTATAAATTCTCAGGGGAAGCAAAAAACGAAAATGGAACTTTGTTATTTGTTCCCAAAACTTTGCATTCATAGTTATGACTTTGGAAACATCGTATTAGTAACTTAAATATGGATCACTTTTAAACAGTAATTTAAAACACAGTTAAATTATATTTTGTAAAATACACCCTTAATTTTGAAGTTATGTCAATTATTTCCCAATTATGAATAAGAACAAAAAGATTTTCAAAAAAAAAATTTTAAACAATTTTTACAAATTTAATTTTTTTTTTTTTTTTTTAATAAAAATAAAAACAAACAAAACTCTTGAAAAATAAACAACTTCTTCCACCGAACCGAAGTTTGAAGTTGCTTAACTTAAATGGCTAACTAAAACAATTTTTAGGAACTGAATAGGAACTATAAAATACTAACTGCTATTTAACTATACTAATATTATTCTAATAAGTTATAAAACATTATTTAAAATAAATTCAAATGAAAAGGTTTTATAAAACCCAGGGATTATTTTACTACAATTAAACTTTTTAGGTCTTTCTTTTATTAGCGGCAATTGAACAATATGGAAATTTTTTTTTGTATATGCTGGCTTTCTGTGGATCTCATTGAATGGTTTACCTCAGAAATGCGTCGTTTTTTAGACTTATACCCTACACAATTCCATTCCACTTGCTTGTAACTTGTCTTGTACTTAAAAAAAGCGTTCCCTTTTTCAGTCTTCAGTAACTTTACGTCACTTATTTTAAAATCATTCCCATCTACATTTTGTGTTAAAGTAAGCGCCATTTCATCATGGATAAATTTTATATCCAAGAAGCTGTCAAAATTCATTTCTTTTACCTCCAGTGGATTACCATTCTTCTTCGCAGATCGAATTGCGGAGATATACTGCTCTGGAACGTAAATTGGACCAGATTCTTTTAATTTTTCCACCGACTTCTCTAATTACGCTGTGAATCGCATCGCCTTCATTTTGAGTATGGGCCACGAATTAAGTTTTAATTGTGGGTAATAGAATTTATTTTCTAAGCATGAACAGCGTTAGAGGTATGTAGCTATCATGTATCTGTAAAATAGATATCTCTAATATTTTTGTATACGTTTTTTTTTATTTTACATAGATACCTGTTTTTCTGCTGGCCGCCACAATTATCCGAGAAAAAGACCACGTCGGCACCTGGGTTAGTTAGTGATAGCTCTTCAAGATACAGGAAAACACATGAAGCAATTTCTGTTACTCCTCTATTACTCAGACCTTCATGCCAAAAAAAGCACAAAGATTTGTCATTTCCTATTTCTGTTATCTAAAACAATAAAAATAATAATATATTTTTATATTTCAGTTGGAATTTTAATGGAATTTTTAAAAAATTTTTTTTTTTTTTATTTTATTATTAATTTAGAAAATTATAGCATTGATACGGGATTGTGTAAGCATAAAGCTGATGACTGTCCATGGGTATTGGTAAAGCACCGCCTGGCAAGTCCATAACCTGCAAGCCACACATCAATGGTATTTTTGCTTTCTCTTTATCATTTTTGTTTTTCACTTCGACTTAATTCTTTTTCTTCTAGATGGCTTTGGTAATTAATCTCAAGGTTTTCTTTTTCCTCTTCCTGGGAGTTTTTATAGGCTTCGCAAACGTCGCACTGGTCTTTCTTTGGCAAAAAGAAACCTAATATGAATAACTCTTTTAATTGAATATTCTTGAGTATTTATCGTAACTTGCTGCAATCTTATTGATGGAAGACCTCTGTGTTGAATAATTTCGGTATAACTCGGCTACAGAGAGGCCACCGCCAAATAAATTCCTTTTTTGTATCTTTTCTGACATAGTGACTCTCAATACGAGGAACTGAATTAATGTGGTCACGTACGGACTTCAATATTTCTTCATCAATCTTTTTGTGATTTTGATGCTTGCCTCTGTTATCAGTTGGTACTATTCCAGTACCCCTTGCCTTAGACTTTAAATACGTTCCGAATTGTTTCTTTCATTTATCACGGAGAGTATTAATTAAAGAATGTCTTGCATACACGAATTCTGTGTCCTTCTTTAGAAATGTAAAAGGAACAATTGGGATTTCTGGGTTTCGCAGCTGAAATGCGTCTGTACTTTAGATCCAATTTTTCAATATGGGCAGCCAAAAAATCGCGCTGTCTTTGTAGAGAAGAGAATGCCCAGTATTCCTTAAACATTTCGTTTCTAAAATTCTCATTAATTTTTTTTGAGCATGATAAAATACATTTTTCTTTGCACGGCGGTCCCATCTTTTTTTCACCAATAATTTTCCCCGATTTTGATGTGTAGCTTTGACCACAATTTCTTAGCCTTTTAGCTTTTTCTCTTATCCAATTATCAGGGTTGCGGCTTCTTTTCTTGTCCTTTTTAGGAGATGCGGGTTTTCCATTATTTTCATAAGTTTCTGAACTATAAACGTTCCTTTGGCGAAAAAACAGCATTCCTGATTTAGAAGTACCACTATGCTCAGACCCGAGTCGCTTGAATAATCTTCAACAACTTCCTGGAGAAAAATCGTCACTAGAACCAGAAGAAATATCGTTATGCTCTCTTGCATCAGCCGGGTCATTATAGGTCAACCTAGGAATTCTTCTTAAATTTATGCTGGTTTGAGTTTTCCTGCTTCAACAATTATATTTGTTCCTGGCCTGGTTAGCTGCGTTTTCCGTAACACAAATCTTGCAGAAATTAAGTGGTTTCTGGAGAAACTGAATTTTAATTGGTCGAACCAACGTCAATTTTAGGATCACCCTTATCCCGGCTCTTAATTAAAACTGTATCCAAAACAGGAGGAACCAACGGCCCTGATTCCGCAAGTCCTACGGTTAAAGAACTGGCACTTCCAGTATCGTCATTATCAATGGGGTCTTTTTGGTTCCCGTTTAAATCTGTAGCAATAACTTTCAAATTCTTTGGCCGTTTTCTCAGGCTCATTTTCTCCGAAACTTTTTGGTAACCTCTGGTAATATAAATAATAGTATATTATTAATATATGTATTTAAGGTAAAGGTAAGTCCCTTTAGGGACCGGTGCGTTAAGGCTTCTCGTGTATATATAAGATTATATTTACTAATATGCTGAACTTCCCAAACATTACATATTTGAAACTGATTAATTTTTATCAAAATTACACATTTTCCTATTATTAATTATATGGAATTAGGTAGCCAGTTTGTCTAAAAAGTCAAAATTTGTCATTCAAGACAGCAATGCTAAATTTCTACTTAACATTTTACCAAAAGAAAAATGATACGTTTCGGGAACAATACCTAATATAAACAAAGAAAAGTACACTTTCGGGAACACAATAACGTTATGGGACATAAGTTAGTAAACCTACTTTTTTTGGGTCAGGAATGACAGAAGTCCTTACGTGTATTTTCATAATTTTTTAAATGAACGAACAAATTTGAAATAATATTGACATAGAACACTTACGATCTTATTTTCCCAAACTTTGCAAGAAAAATTGTGTACAAAGTTTTTTTGTACGACTAAAAAAACTACACTTAGCGCTTTTTCTTCGACGACAAATAAGTTTGTACAATTCAGACGAGACTGAGAATATGTATTATTTTTTCAACGACGCTAGGAATGTGGAATTTGAAGACAGAGCAATGCCATTAGCGTAACCGAGTGGTAGTACAAGTTTCGCATTATTTTACATATATATTTAAAAAAAAAAAAAAAAAAAAAAAAAAAAAAACTAATTTTAAAATTTTTGGGCCAGTTCGG